CGCCTCCTCTGGGCAGGAAAGACTGCTGGGGTCAAATAACCCCAGCAAGGTGCAAGTCCAGTCTCCTTTTGAAGATCTCCAGGGTAGGTGCCTGCATCACCCCCCGCCTCCCCCCCGGGAGTCTATTAAAATTTTTTGGAAACATAAACAGAACTACCAATGAAAATCAATCCAGTACCCTATCTAATCCTGGATCTTATCTTTCACAGTAATTGTCCTAAAAGCTTCAGAGGAAGAAGGTCAAGAAATCAGTAAATGGGAGTATTACTCTGTGAAGTAAGCACGGTTCTACCATTAATTTATTTTCAGCCCGCTTAACTTGTGTGTAGATATTCACCACCCATACAATGTTCACTTCTCATTTTGAATCCTCTCTCTTGCTGAGAGGGAGTTTCACCAGCTAAACAAAAGACATTCCAGTAAGGATATAAATTTGTTGCCTGTCAGTTTCACTGAATAGCCTCAAAGTCTTTGCATACTAAAAGACTGAGTATTTATATTCTCTCCACATCATTTTTTGTACTTCACATTTTGTTTTATTCATTTCTTCTGATAAAGTAAAACTAGGTTAGCTAATCTGAGATTCATTCTATGCCCATGATCATTTCTGTCACCTTTTTCTTGAATTCATTGCCTTCTAGTTTTTATCTCCAAACTCAGCTGCATATAGTCTACACACAGGTTTCTTAAACTCCAAAACCTGTTTTTGAACATACCTAAACCAGTTTCTGTTCCCTTTATTTGACAAACTCTTCCGTGGCTTTACATTCTTTCTCCTTGGTCTAAGAGCTACCTTTGATGCTGTCACCTGTACACTCCTGCTCAGAGCATGCAGGCTTTGATGACATTATCTTTTCCCACTATTCTGCCTACTGTTTGGATGTGTTTCAGCGTTATGTTTAGTGAGTTCTCTTCCACCACACTCTCATTCAGTATGTGTATTTGTGTTTGTTTCTAGGGAGTCTGTTTCTACTCTGTTCAAGCCTACTTCTCTTCTATCCAATTCCCATCTGCAAATATGATTTTGAATTCTAACTTTAAGATGATGAACCACAAACTTCCCTTTGCTTCAGACCTATTTGTTCCCTAGCCAAACCAAAATGACAGAATATCTTGTAATTTACAATGGATTTTAAACCAACAGCTGAAACTGAATATAGCTAAAAATGAGCTGATTTAAATGATGATATTACCCAGAAGTGTGCATGAGTTCACAAAAAAGCATAATTTTTAAACAGTGAATTTGATCAATCTCTATCCCTTTATCTACCTTTGTTAATTTTTTTCTGAAGTTCCTCAAAAACTTCTAGTTTGGACTACCCTAATTAATGCTGTATTACCTGTAAATGTTGCCAACTCATTTTACAACTCATTTATCTAGTTAAAGTACAAACATATACTAATATATGTACGGCATGTCTTCTTCCAAAATGTATATGTAACATATATAATGGAACTCTGTTTGTGCCATATATCAATGCATATAAATAGACATTATGTAAGATGGCCCAAGATAAAAAATTTCATATTTTTGTCACTGGTGCACTATTAAAAACTTCATTAGTCACAAAATTGTAGAGGTCAGTCAAGGAAGACAAAGTCAAGCTTATTAAAAATACCAATACTTTTAGTTCCATAAGGGAAAAAAATTACAGTGGAAAAGAAAAAATGCAATACTTTTTGTTCTAAAAGTGTGTCAGAAACTTTTGGATGCAACTTTTCAGGCATTTGACATTAATCATTTGATCTTGACCATTTAAAATAGTTAGAGCCAAAACTACTGTAGTGCCTCATATCCAAATAGGTGGAAACATAAATAATTTGCTTTTGTATTTAAGTTTAGTAGCCTATTCAACCAGAGAAATAAAAAGTGTATAAAATTTAGTGCTTGCATCAGCCAACTTCCTGGGAACAACAGACAATCTGTGTCTGACACAGGTTGTGGAAGGGCCTACTAGGGGCAAGGCCACTCTGGATTTAGTGCCGACCAAAGGCGAGGACATCGTAGGCAACCTGAGGATTGGTGGCACTCTGGATAACAGTGACTATGACCTGATAAGGTTCACCATTCACCATAAGACTGGGAAGTTAGCCACCAGAACAGAAGTCCTGAATTTCAAAAAGGCAGATATTGGCAAACTCAAGAGGCTCACTGGAGAAGCCCTCTGCAACTGGCAATTGGACAACTTAGGAGTACAGGAATGATGGTGCTTCCTTATGGTGGCAATTCTCATGGCTCAAAAAACAGGCCATTAACATGCAGGCAAAAAGCAGGGAAGGAGCTAGGAGACTTGCTTGGCTCACTAGAGATATTAGGGAGCTATTGAAAAAGAAAAAAGAAGTGTATATGCAATGGAGAAATGGCTCAGCAACCAGGGAGAAATATACCTGTATTGCCAGGGCCTGCAGATATGATGCATGGAAAGCTAAGGCAGGCATGGGGATCAAACTGGCAACCAGTATAAAAGAAGACGAAAAGTTATTCTATAGATACACAAGGAGTAAGAAAAAAAATGAAAATCGGGCTCCACTGTGGGGCCCCTACTGAATACACCCAGGGCCAGTCCACAGTCAATGCTCACGAAAAGGCAGAACTCCTTAATGCATACTTTGTGTCAGTATTCCCAAAACCCAAAGGGGGCTGCTCACCTGACCAGAGGCCAAGGGAATAGAGGGAAGGTAACAGCCTACATGAACTCAGCCCAGAACAGGTGAGGGGTTTTCTACAATATTTGGACATTTTCAAGTCTGCTGACAACCTGCCTGATTACCTGCACCCAAGAGTCCTGAAAGAACTGGCTGAAATTATAGCAGCACCACTGGACAATCTATTTGAAGAGTCGTGGAACTCGGGAGTGGTCCCGGATGACTGGAAGGTGGTCAATGTGGTGCTCATCTTTAAGAACGGAAAAGGGATGACCCGGCAAACTACAAACCGGTCAGTCTGACCTCGGTCCCAGGTAAAATCTTTGAAAAGTTGGTTAAGGGAGCCATCAACTACAAGCTGGTAATAGATGGGATGCTAAAAAACAACCAGCACAGCTTTGTCAAGGGTACATCATGCCTGACGAACCTCGTGTCCTTCTGTGACCAGGTAACTAACCATCTGGATGAGGGACGTAAGGTTGACATCATCTACTTAGACTTCTGTAAATCCTTTGACCATATCCCATGTAATTCTCTCTAACAAACTGGAGAGTACTGGGCTGGACCAGTCTACAGTGAGGTGGGTGGACAACTGGCTTAGAGGGTGCTCCCAGGGGGTGGTGATTGATGGGATGGCCTCATCCTGGAGGACCATCTCCAGTGGTGTCCCCCAGGCATCGGTGCTTGGACCTGTGCTATTCAATATATTCATTAACGACTTGGATGAGGGAGTGGAAAGCACAATGATTAAGTCTGCAGATGATACCAAGCTGTGGGGAAACGCGGGCACACCAGAGGATAAGGCAAAAATCCAGGATGACCTTGATAGGCTGGATTTATGGGTGGAATGAAATCAAATGAGGTTTAACAGGGAGAAGCACAAGGTCCTTTACCTGGGTAGGAAGAACCCCCACCACAAATATACAATAGGCGGTGGTCCTATGGCTGGCACAGCATCCGAACGAGACCTGGGAGTCACGATCGACTGGAAGATGAATATGAGCCAACAGTGCAATGAGGCTGCCAAAAGGGCAAACAAAACTCTGGCATGCATCAGCTGATGTGTGGCCAATAGATCCAGGGAGGTACTCCTCCCTCTCTAGTTGGCATTGGCGAGGCCTCAGCTGGAGTACTGCTCCCAGCTCTGGGCACTGAACTTCAAGAAGCATGTAGATAAGCTCAAGAGGGTCCAAAGAAGGGCCACCCATTTGATTAAGGGCATGGAGGGTAGGCCCTATGCGGAGAGACTCCAGGAACTGGGCTTGGTCAGCCTGAGGAAGAGAAGGCTGAGAGGTGACTTGATAGCTGCCTAAAAGTACATCGGGGGGAGCATCAAGAACTAGGAGAGCAACTCTTTAGGAAAGCACCTCAAGGGAAGACAAGGACCAATGGGTATAAACTAATAGAGGGTAAATTCAGGTTGGATATAAGGAAAAACTTCTTCTCTGTAAGCAGAATCTGGAACACACCCCCAGCAGAGGTGGGGCAGTCACCGTCCTTGGAGGTGTTCAAGACAAGGCTGAACAGGCACCTTGTCGAGCTCATCTGAGCCCAATAACTTCCTGCCCCCGGCAGGGGAGACTCGATCTTACTCGATCCAGTTCTATGTTTCTATGATTATTATGTTAATGAAACCAATCTATTATTTGTTTTCAGAAACAGTTCTGATTTCAGAAAACTTAAAACCAACCTAGTAGAACCATAGCCTGGAAAGCAATTCCATATTGTACACTTAGGTTCCATGCTTGCTGTGCTACTGACTTCCAGATAAGTTTATTCATGGGTTTTTTTCTTATCCCCTAAATGGTCAACCTATCAAGCTTGCTGTGCTTTCTGCAAAATCAAGCACGTTTTGCCACAGATCATATATCATTACCAGCAATAAAGGTTTAAAAGTGGAGAAACATTAGCAGTTTCCCAACGTGTACATGAACCAGGAGGGAGTTGTGTTCACTGTTCCATAGCGTTCCTGGGTCTGCCATGGTAGTAGGAGTAACACAGCATAAATTTGAATGCATCACTAAAAAAAACAGATACAACTATGTATGCCTAGCAAGTATATCTGACAGCAAAAGGTCTAATACATGGGCATAAGCACACTTTGAGTAAACAGGTTCTGGAGATGAGTACAAAGCAGATAATTTGCTGTGAGAAGCAAGCCTTTGAAAACACAGAGATTATCAGGTCCCAGATCCTGCTTTACACTTGTCTCTACTTATTTGCAAACAATCACTCAAACTCTTCACTAAGCCAAAACTAGCTTGCTAGCACATCAGCACTACTGCTAGGAGATTGAAAGATTCCTAGATATTGTACAGCAGACACATATTTATAAGAATCAAAGGACTACTCACCACATGAAGAATTTTATTCTCCGTTTCATATACTGTGCAATCCTGAAAACAGAAAGTAGAAGACATAGGTTAAATCTGAAAAGTCAAACATCCTTGGAAAATTGCCTTTTAAAATGAAGGTTAATTGTATTGAAAAACCTTTACAAGAAATCACTTGTTGTTTCAACTACCATAGAAGAATTTATGTAACCAGGGTGGAAGAAGCTAGAATGGGAAAGAAAAGTTGATTAGCATATACTTAAAACTTTGGTCTTCCTTTGGTGAGTCCCATTTGAGACAGACTCTTATTCTCTTCCCTCTAGTACCTCATTATGCCATGCCCTAAGAAAGCCATGCTTGGCTCATTTCTCTTTTTAATCAGTCCATATTAGATTAGAACATGGGTTACAGGTTGAGAGTTGTATTAAGAACCAAAACCTCTGTGGATACAGAGACTAGAGAATTTCCTCCCCAAATGAATTGCACAGAAATATTCTATGTAGGTAGCAAGAATCAGTGCTTTTAATAAAGGTAACTCTGTGCAGCAGGCAAACAGCAAAAACTCTAAACAAGAAAACATTTTTTTTAAATTGCAATTTGTCCATCATTCCATGTTCACAATAAACAAGGGAGAATGGCACTGCTTTCTTTAAATGAAATACAGTTATGTAACTTATGAAGAAAACAAGTGTCCTTGTATCCAAAGATGAGGAAGCAAGCTTTACAGTTCTGACAGCTAAGTATATATAGTGCTTGAGACTGAAGAAACAACTGAGAAACTCTTATAATTGAATTTCTGGATCTGAGAAAGATAACATGGTCATGTGGACTTAAACTTCACTGCCAATCATATAAATCATGGTGAGTCCATTCATCCTGCAGGATTTAGCTCAGTGATTCTCAACTTTGTTACAAGGGTACACCTCCATAACTTCTCTGAATTTAACAGCATCAATTTCACAAAAATGGCAGCATGACATTCCACTGAACAAGAGCTGAGTTTAGCCAATGAGTCCTGAATAGGCTGTCTGAAGGTGTACAAGTAAACCCAAAGGCATAACATTTGAGAACGGTTTATGTAGTCAGTGAAGGTTGGCAGAAACTCAAGGGGCCATGATAGCAGTTTCTAATTCAGAGCCAAAATCCTAGGTTCAAGGTCAACTGTAATGGGTGTAAAGCATAAATCTACTATAACACTGCTTTTTAGCATGCTTACTTAAATTGCCCTAAACCATCTCAAGCTAAGCATCTAGACTACTCATCCAGGGTTATGCAGCACCCTGTGTTGCTCTCAGATCCATTCAACAGTGCTATGGGCTGCCACACAATTTTACAACTTCCAAGTGTGCAAATATAATTCACATGACAAGCCAAGAGATTTCAAATCAGAATCCATACGGTTAAAAACAGTGCCTGTTGTAGTCCTTCTGAGTTCTTTGGAACAGAAGAATTGCTCTATTATTTCTCTCTCATAAAAAAAAGCAAAAACAAGTAAAAACTAAGAGTTTGTTTTCCAAGGGGTGCCTTGAGTCTAAAAAGGTTGAGCACAACTGATCTAAGCTATCCTTTCTTATCTTCAACAGCAACATATATCTTTCTCAACATTCTTAGGGGATTTTTTTCTCCTCTGTTTTAAAGTTAAATTGTTTCTTATATAACTTCAATATATTGCTTTCTATTTTCTTCATAGCAACTCATGAGAATAATTGATCCTCATTTTATTTAAAACATCTCTACGTAGAAGGAAATAGGGCTATTCATTACTGAGAATCTTTACAGTTTACATGTGCTACTTTTTCATATCCATTTCAATAATAAGAGGTTAGTGCATAATAAACAGTTGCTAATTGTAAAATGACAACTGAATGCATATTTTTAATACCATCTTTAACCCAGTTAAAAAGAAAGTTCACCTGTAGTGTTAGCCCATATTCTATTGCTGAAAATGGAACGGAGAGATCTTACAGAATCACAAGCTCATGTAATAATGGCTAGGTACGGACGTTACACTTAACATGTGTTAAGAGCACAGAAAGCACTTTAAAGCCACAGCAGAACAGACATTCATGGCACTTCAAATGCCTTAAAAATGGCAGATCCCACTCTAAGTTAACCCAGGATGGATGTGGTATTAAACTAAAGCACTCTAGGTGCTTTTTTGAATGTCTGTACAACATCCATCACACTTCAGTGTAGATCACATTCTGCTGCCACCCCAGGGAGCCCTCGCTGGTGCTCATCTGCTCTGGACAAGATTGGCCTGGCCCTGCCCACAAGCTGTCACAGAGAAGAGACACAAAAGGCTTTGTCTTTGCCCTGCATTTGCTGGTTCGGGTCTTGGGGGAGTGGATGGGGTCTGGGCCAGGTCTGCACAGCAGGAGGACACACTCCCAGCCCCAGTTCCCAGCATGGCAAAAAGCCAGCCAGGCAGCTCCATACTGCAGCTCCTGGCTCCAGCTGACAGGAGGCTGGAGGGGAATGGAGCCTCCCTACTCTTCAGACCCGGCCCAGTCTCTCCCTTCTCCCTGCCCTCCGCCTCCAGATCCCAGCCAGCAAACTATGGAGGGAGGGAGGCCCTCATGGCAAGGGGGCTCCATTCCTCCCCATCTCCAGCTGCTGCCGACAGTCACCAACTGGTGGGAAGGTGGGGCTGGCTCCAGCAGCCTCCTATGAGGCATGCAGAAGTGCTCCCTACCTGCTTGCCTTGGCCAGTGCAGGGAGGCGCCAAGCTCCCCTCCATCCCTCCAATGACAGATGTCTGTTCAATTTATTCCTGATCTAACTTATAGCACTAAGTAAAGCACTATGGTTAGACCGCTTCTGCAAGGGGCTTTATGAACATCTGTACTTACCTAATGATATTGTTTGAATATACCATAAGGGAAAAAGAATGTAGGAAAAAGACTTGTCACAGTTGCACTGATTTAGAAGAGGACAATTTTCAGTTCAGAGGCCCACAGATTTCTAGCTGAATTTAGTATACTAGCTGAATCCCGATTCAGCAGCACAAACCATTTTAGAAGATTAAGACAAAGGATGCCAAGATATCTGTACCCGCCTCCACTCTACCAGGTGTTCGCGCGCCGCCTTTGCCCGAGCCCAGGGCTTCATGCGCCCTGACTCTGGAAAGGTACCCCGGGGGTTACCCCGGCTGGTATCAGGGGGGGCCCCTGAACTCGCCTGCCATGACTTTGATGATATCTTCAGTGGGGGGGGGCCCACCCTTGGGGTACCCACCGGTGTCGGCGCGTCCCTCGGCGGGTAACCTTGGGGCTCCGTCCTCCCCCACACCCCGTCCACTCGCCACCTTAGGCTCTTCCTCTTGGGGGTCTCCACGTCGCCCCTGGCTTGTCACCCCCGGCTTGTCACCCCCTTGCCTCAACACGCCGTCCGTCAGCAATGGTCTTCGGGCTGGGCGTACTGCCTATGGGGACGCTAGCCCGCTCCCTCCGTCCTCGTACCTGCGCTCCCCCAGGGGTCCGCGGGGGCGCTGTACCTCCTGCCGGCTCTGCTCTGTATTAGGCACCCGGTTGTCTCACCGGTGCCTTCTGTCTTACTGCAGCTGGCCTCCCTGCCCCTGCCGCTCCCGCTGCAGCAGCCCTCGCTCCCCGCTCCGTAACCTGGGATGTGGCGAGCTCCTCCTTCCATCCGGCTACCGGCACTGCCGCCGGCTTCTCCACCAGTTCCGCCGATAGTATCAGTGCTGGCCTCTCCACCAGCACCGCTGCCAGCTGCTCTGCTCCGTTTCTCGGAGCCGCGACTGGCTCCACCTCCTCTGCTCCCGCACTCCACGGGTGGCAGCTGACTCCCCACTTGCTGGGGCTTCTCTCCCCAGCCTCCTTCGTCCAGCCACCCCGTTGCCTCGGCGGGGCCGCCTTTTGTTTCTCCCGGCCGGCGTGCCCCGCCCCCGCCGCTCAGCCGCAGCCGGATAAACGCCCGGCTGACGACCCGTGCCGGCAGCACCGGCGCGTGGACTTCCTTAGGCTCCTCCGGCCCTGCGGGAGGTAAGCGGAACCCTTTGCTGCCGCAGGGGTTTCCCGGCGTCCCCGCTCCCCTGGGACAATATCATACACAGGTGTTAGTCAAGATAGAGTATGCAGAATGTTGAAGCACACATCTAGGGCTTGATCCTTTAATGATATGAATATTCTGGCCCTGTTCCTCTGTGAACATAAATACATGCTTAATTTTAAGTATGTTGGCAGTCACAGGGGCTTCAATAAAGCTATGAATGGGCTGAATAAAGGCCAGAATGCTCAGAGTCTAACAATACCTAACTTGTAGGACTGAACTTCTAAAGAACTGTGGCATCAAAACATGGAAACCAGAGAGAAGCTAAAAACATCTTGGACTATGTACCACTACACCAAAAAAAAAAAATGTATTCCATAAGGCTCCCAAGAGTGCAATGACTGGCATTGGGGTTGCTGTGCTCACAGGAAACAGATTCAGTTCACATGCCTGACAACCAGTTGCAATGATCTGTGACAGACTTCACTTCTCAAAGTGGCCGTTGGCTATGATCTCATGTCACAATATTGTCATTCTTGTTCCTACATTTGTTTCATACCTCCTGCACTATAATCTATTTGGGACTGTCAAGCATTTGTGAACCCTGTTATTTTAATTCTCTTTATTCCCTGTAAAGTTATGCTATACCAAGGAATAAGATATGGCTGTTTACCAATAGATATACCAATAGCATAAACAAACTTAATTTGTTAATTCCAAAATAATCAATAAATAAATTTCTGAATACAGATACACAGACACAATTGCTACAGAGTAATTAACCTCAGATTTTATGCTATATTAAAGGAGCAGGTATTTGAACTGTCTTCTCAAATTGGCTGACTGCAATAAGCACTATTGGCTGCAGAGCCTGGCCAGTAGATAGTGAAGTAATGCAAACAGAATACAGCTTGCACAGGATGCAGTTCACTATGGAAGTGTACACATGTCTGGGACACTGGGATAAATTTGTACCTGCATATAGTTACTTCTCATTGTCTGAGGGACTGATAACATCACCTGAGCACGAAGTGGTGTAAAGGTATATGGTG